CTCTCTTGTAACACCTCTTATCTTCTGACGCCCATATGACCTTATGCAGTTGCGAGCGCCGTAAAACCTCTACTAAAACAAACAGACTTCCAATGTCTTACAAATATGGAATGGAAGCTTAAGTCATAAAGCGTAGTTGCAGATCCAAAGCAAGCCTTGTAGCCCATGACACGCTCTCGTCCAGATCAAATCACAATCCATCATGATGGGTGGTTGGCGGGTATCCTGGTGTGGTTTGCTTCTTCTTTCCCATCAAACATCTATCGTCCTTATCTCCCCTCCTTCTTTTAAAATTTTGTTACTCTCTTGTAACACCTCTAATCTTCGGCACTTATATGACCTTATGCAGTTGCGAGCGCCGTAAAACCTCTACTAAAACTAACACGCAGACATGGACATGTGTACAGACAAAACAGCGAAAACTTTACAAGAGAAAACGTCCAAATGTGTAATTCACTACTTGTAACTTTAATCAAACAGAATAAGTTATATCTTATCACGAAAGGGCACACAACAGCGCCCTTGGCTGCCATTTTTACAATAAGTTAAATAATTATTTTCTTATTATAATGCAGCGTTATCACACACAATAGAATTATATCATGACAATGTACATTGCATCATTTTATTGGAATCGTTATTTTTACAATCTGTCTTCTTAACACAGCCGTTAAAGTTCACAACAGCAATATCACATCAATTAATAACATTAATAACAACCAGGTGTCTTGCGGTTCAGAAACTGAGTCTTTTTGTGCTAGGATAAATCCAAGGTAACTACAGTCAAACTTCTCACACTCACACGACCATCTGTCCACCAAGACAATCGGCTGTAAAAAAACGACTATCGGTACCCCCCCCTCCCCCCTTTGCGCTTTTCCCCCTACATTATAATATGATTATTTTGGTCGCTTTAATTAAGGACAAGCGGGCTAACCCAGATTTCGGGGATTTCCACAAATGTTGGCCAGCACCAAAAGTGGGCGTTGTCCTACCTATGGGAGAAGTTTGGTTTCATTGGTGTATATATTTGTTAGATTAAAGAGGAAACTACGTGTCTTTTAAAGAAACTGTACAAGGGACAAAAGCTTTACCTTCGATTTCCCCAAAACAGCATTTTCCGGGATAGACCCTTGTGCTTAAACGTAATAAAAGCGACCATATCTGAGGCAACGTGGTGGAATCAGGTTCTCGTCAAAATTATCAAAGTGAAGAAACTTGCATTTTTCCGCAGGTTTGTGAATTTTTATCCAATTTTTATTTTTGGGCTCAACTCCTTTGATGCCCATTAAAGAACTCATTTCTTTCTGGATTTTTCTGAAAAGCGTTGAATAAAGGCACAAAATTGTAAATTTTCAGTTATCACGGACTCTTAAGCTAAGGAAATAACTATTCTTTGCTGCCATTTTCTCACTAATTTTACCTCTGAAAACAGGTGACTCCCCACCTCCTTCTTTCACAAATATCTCGACTTCTATTCAAGATAAATGGATATTTTTCCATCTAAATAAAGACAAGTGAACAAGCTTTAAGATGATACCAATAACTTTACATGACCAAACATTGACGAGAGCCTGATTCCACCACGATGCCTCACATATAATACCACTGCCCAAGAAGACCACCTGTGTAAAGGTGTAGACAGAGAAAAGTAGAGTCACCTTTCTGGAGCAAGCCCTTAGCCTCTCCACTCTCCACTCCCCTTTTGGGGAGAGGTGAAAATGGTGAAATGGTATGAGTTTAACGCCCCTATCAACACTATTAGGTTATTTAAGAGGCGGGACCTCCTAATTTAACGTCCGTCTCCGATAGGACCGAGCCAATTTGGAAGTTCGTTAAAGTGCCTTCCCCAAGGACACAACGTCGGACCGAGCTGAGGCTCGAACCCCCCAACCCGCAATCTCACGATTACGTGTCCGGTAGCCTGACCACTAGGCCACCGACGCCACCTTGGGGAGAGAGAAGTCGGCGACAGAGTGAAGGCCTCTCCCCTCCCCCGACGTCCCCTACGAAGGGGCGACATCTTCACTCTTTTTTGAATCTGTGTTCGTGATTGTTATTACATAACATTGTACGTTTTCTCAATGTAAAAATATTTTCGAGGCTGGCCTAGCCCTGTCTGTGCAAGATGGACGAAGAAATAATTATTTCAATGGAAGTTGCTTGATAAGGTAACCCACAAGAAAAGAAAGATCTAGGCAAGGTCAAGCCCTTTTGTATCGTTTGCAAGTGAATACACCAGTACACACAATAGGCCAAGCCCTTTCGTTTGTATCGTGTGCAAGTGAGTACGCTCACCGAGTGGTGTTTTTTTGGTGACTGACTGAAGGTGCGAGAAATTTTAGTGCTGCGTTAAAATTCAGTCTCCAACCTTGGAGGGGACTCGCCTCAAAAAGGGGAGGTAATTTTAAGAGGTTGGTGACTCTACTCTGTCGCTCACAACGCTTTTCCTGTACATTAAACCTGCCGCTCGCCAAATTGGTGTGGCCAGATGGGGAAAAAGATGTGGGGAAGGTGACTCCACTCCGCACGCGCACGTTAAGCTGTCCCCGTGGTTTTATGCTCCCCGCATAATTTAGCAAAATTTTATCACATTTTGCATAATTTCTGATTATTTTACTTTACAAATCTTTGCTATAATTAACAGAATCGCATAATTTCACTTTTTTGGGCTCGGTTTGCAGAATTTCAGAATTTTTCTTGCATAAAACGACGGAGACAGGTTAAGACGAGAACTTTTGTCCGCGACAGTGAGTGATTGTTTTGGATAATAAGTTTGACTGCTTTCCCAACAGCTGAGGTACAAGCAAACATGATTCAAAGTCAAAGATTAGTATATGTCCCCGCGGTTTTATGCACCAAAAAATTCTGAAATTATTCAAACTGAGCCCAAAAATGTGAAATTATGCGATTCTGGTCGTTTTAACAAAGAATGATAAAGGAAAATAATCAGAAATTACGCAGAAAATGATCAAATTTTGCTAGATTATGCGGGGTGTATAATAATAATAATTAATAATTTACATTTATATAGCGTATATCCATGCTCAAGAGCATGCTCTATGCGCTTTACAACTATCATTACCCCAGCAGACCCTCTGAGAACACTCAGAAACATTCTGTATAAAACCACGGGGACAGGTTAGTTGCTGGAGCTCATGGGAGCCAACATTTTTAAAATGTGTAGCAACTTCCGGTCTCCTTCATCAAATCAAAATGTGAGGCAGCGTGGTGGAATCAGGCAGGTTTGTGAATTTTTATCAAACTTTTGTTTTTTGGCTCAACACCTTTCATGCCCGTTAAAGAACTCATTTCTGTGTGGAGTTTTCTTTAAAACGTTGATTAAAGGCACAAAAAATGTACATTTTCCGTTGCCGCGGACTCTTAAGCTAAGGAAATAACTAATCTTTGGCGGCCATTTTCTCACTAATTTTACTTTTGAAAACAAGTGACCCCCACCTCCTTCTGTCGCAAATATCTCGACTTGTATTCAAGATAAATGGATATTTTTTTCGTCAAAATAAAGACAAGTGAACAAGCTTTAAGATGATACCAATAACTCTACATGACCAAAAATTGACGGGAGCCTGATTCCACCACGCTGCCTCACATTTAAACAAAATAGCAGGGTAGTAGTATGCCAACTTACTTTGATCATGGTGGATTCACGTGGTACGATTTAGATTTCAGTCAAATTTTAAAATGTTAATAGTTATCTTGGTCAACAGTCTAGTATTTTTTAAAGTGAACTTTCTTAGTTGCACTCTTTTCCAAAGTTGTGCGCACCTTTCGCTCAGCTTGCCGGCTAATCTATCAGTAGGCCTATCATGCTTGGCTACGGAATGGATGACCGTTGTTCGAATCCCAACAGGGTGTCTGGAACGAGTTGTTCTGGGAAAGCTATTTGTGAGGCAGCGTGGTGGAATCAGGCTCTCGTCAAAATAATCAAAGTGAAGAAACTTGCATTTTTCCGCAGGTTTATGAATTTTTATCAAAATTTAGTTTTTTGGCTCAACACCTTTCATGCGTATTAAAGAACTCATTTCTGTGGATTTTTTTTCTGAAAAAAAGTTGATTAAAGGCCAAAAAAAATTAATTTTCAGTTACCACAGGCTCTTAAGCTGAGGAAATAATCTTTGGCGGCCATTTTCTCATTAATTTCACCTCTGAATACAGGTGACCTCAACCTCCTTCTTTCGCAAATATCTCGACTTGTATTCAAGATAAATGGATATTTTAAAAATCAAAATAAACACAACTGAACAAGCTTTAAGATGATACCAATAATTCTACATGCCCAAAAGTTGACGAGAGCCTGATTCCACCACGCTGCTTCACATTTTTTAAAATACTCTCCTCTTCTGGTCTTTCACAGCGCCCTGTAGTTGTTCTGGTACGGTTTTTTCCCATCCAGAACGAGAAAATCTCGACCAATGGTAGTCTTCACACGGTCCAGCGGCTGGCCAATCAGCTCCCCTTGTTTCTCGTAACACAGACCCTTCCGGACATGCGCGTAGATCTGCAGCTCTCGCTTCACGCTTACGTCACCAAGGACGCCATTATTAACTCCCTGGGGCTTCGGAGACTCGAGCAGCGACTGGTTCTTTTCGGGATTAACCCCTTCGAGACTGACTCCGTCTGGGTGATTGTAATTATTATTGCTACCAACAGAGATCGGAAGCTGATTTTTATTATCCCGCTGCGTCAGTGGGGAGTCAGCAATTTGACCTCCGATCTTTGAACTCGAGTGCTGACTCCCGACCTTTGAACTCGAGTGCTGGTCTTGCTCCAGGAGGAGCGAAGACATTCTGGCGCGGAGACCGTTGTTCTCCAGCTTTTTAGACGGTTTGAACTTGGTGCTGTTCACGTAAGTGTCCACCTTTGTGGGGCTCTCCATATATAAAGACACAAGCGGTATAGAGTAGGTAGATCGGATGTTTTCGATGTCGTCGGAATCTTCGGGACTGTCTTCTTCTGTCTGATCAGAGATTGGCCCGGTGGCGTCAGAGGAAACTATATCATTCCCGGGGACATTTTTTGTGTTTTCGGAAGACAATATTATAATATTATCGTCACCCTGCGCCTTTTTGAAATTGCGAATTTCCAAACGAAGCCCGTCGTTAGCCCCCCTCTTCTTTTTCAGCACTCTTTCTGCTGAGATTTCTGTGCTGATATTAATTTCCTCTCGTTCAGCTTTCTTCCCGTCCTTTCTATCTCCTCCTACGTCGATCTCACTCCCAGCTGTTGGCTTCTCCTGCACCTCTCTCTCGGCAGGAAAAGACCGCACGATGAACCCACACTCCCCGCTGTCCACCATTTTCTTCCACTCTTCCAAGGGATAACTCTGGCGAAGAAGAGCCACCGCTTCCGCCGCTTGTTGCTCAGAGTTGTGCGCCCCTGGGCTTTGGTGGTGTGACGTCACGCCAGCCGCCAATTGACTACGGTGTATTTTGGCGTGTTTTTGAACCGCCCCGCCAAACTTGACGTCGGGGGGATCTGACAGAGGGCGGTATCTGGCTCTACGTCCTGGGTCAGTCAGTGTGTTTTGGCGAGAGAGCTTGAGATTCCCCCTACCCGTACTCCCCAACGCTTCATTCATCTCACCCTCTTCACCCTCCCCAGCGCCATCTTCACCCAACTCAAGATGCGGTACAGAAGTGGATCTACCAATCCTTATTGAATCCGGATCGAGTCCTGACTCTGCTCCTTGTTCTATCAATCTTTTGTCCAAGAAACTTCCCATACGGGTGTGCTCGCGGTACAGCCCTCTGTGGAAATCTCCGAGGCCTCTTCTTGACTCCCCGAGCTGCCCCGTCCTGTTGTTGCTGGCTTTATAATACATCCCTGGTTGAAGCAGCCGAGAATCGTTCTTCATCCCTTTACGAGCGATACGAATTAGTTCTCTGTCGGAGAGCGATTTCTGATCAACATCAGGATGATGATGATGATGATGATGATGCATGAAGGCTACATTGCTAGTCCCTACAACCCACCGTCTTGAAGCATCGGCGTCAGCTTTTCCATAAACGGACAGATCGTTTTCCCAGTCGTCCTTATCCGAGCCGTTCGCCTCGTCCACACTGCTGTCTTCAGATTGCCACTGGCTGAGACAGTTACACGGGTCTGTCGCTTTTGGGTTGGAGATTTCCACGAGCAGACGAGACTCCTCCCCTTGTTTCGGCATGACGCGTTTCCGGTTCCTTCTCACAGTGGCGCCTGTCGGGAATTTATGCGTGGCCATTGTTGTTGTTGTTGTTCTTGTTGTTGTTGCTGTTGTTGTAGTTTGACCTACCGCGGTCAGCGCAGATTTCTGCTGGTCTTTTACGCTACTTTTGAGACCAACATGGTCGCCTTTTCGCCCCGTCGAGGCGTCTTCTAGGTCAGGAGAGCTCTGACGCGTGATTTTTCTCCCGTTGGCCACGAGAGAGGGCGGGTTTTGCTCGGCTGTGACTGTCTGAGCCTGCGTGAAGCCAGCGGTACTGACGGCAGACGTCTTCTTGCAGTACCGCATCACTGCCTGGTGCTCCGCGCTGAAATGTTTATCCACCCCCCTCTGATCGTGAGCGTACATCACAGGGTTTTGCCACAACCTGTCGCTGTGTTTTGTCATCACGTCAGAGTTCCCCTCCACGATCAAGGCTTTTGCGCTGTTTTCGTCGATCTCTAGGTCGTGAATCTTGGCAGCAGTGGTGGTGGCAGTGTGGTGGGACTTACTGCTCGGTTCTGCGTCTTTTGGGATAGATCTAGAGTCTCGGTATGTAATGTCACCACCTCTGCTGTCCTTATTGTCTCCCGGCTTGCCATTGTCATTGTTGATGTTGTTGTTGCTGCTGCTGCTGCTGCTGTTGTTCTTGCTGTTTTTGTTGGTCTTGCTGCTGGTATTATTGTTATTATTGTTGCTGTTGTTGTTGTCGTTACCGCTGTCGTTAAGGCCGGGGTTGGTTTTGCTGCTGTTGTCCGCGGCGACAACTCTGCTGCTGTTCCTGCTGCTGTCGCGACTGCAGCGGTCGCTGTTGCTGTCTGCTGTCCGCTGCTGTTGCTGTTGCTGCTGTACAAGGCTGACCCTGAGATCTCCGGGCTGGATGGGAGGTAAGAACAGCGTAGACTTAAGCTGCTCGCCACACGTCACAGACTTCTCTCCCTTGACAGTGGAGGTCTCCTCTCTGAAAAGGAGCAAAAGGTGGCTTAAGTTTTTTGTTTGTTTGTTTGTTTAGTATAGGGTTTTACGGCGCTCGCAACTGCATAAGGTCATATGAGCGCGCGGGACACACCCAATACTTTTTCGTTGGTAGGAAATTTGGAATTTTGCCCGGGTGGCGGCCGAAGCCTTCTCTTATCGATTTTAGACCACCAAGGGATCTTTAACGTGCGCAACTTGCACACGGGCACTCCGAGA